CAAAGACAAAGTAGAGCGGCCCTACGCGCTCCCAAAGCGCAATGCCATCACAGAGGCGGAGTGGTGTCGCAGGGTCGGGTGGTTTTGCCACTCGCAATATTTGCAAGACATGGAGGCCCTGTATAATGAACGTACAGGATCAGCTTTTGAAGAGTTTTACAGGTCAATGGACCATACCAACCCCATCCAAGCGACAGAATGCGACCAAATCGAAGAGGAACAGAAGGAACCACCAGCACGAACCGGACAGTCAGAACCAATGCAATAAATGGTGGCGGCCATTGGCTCAAACCAGCCCTAACTACTGCTGCAACACCATCCCTCATGAATCCCAGAGACAGCGATGCAGATCAGTTGGCAGGCATTTGCCGCTGTCCCTTGAGGCTTGTCACGTTAGCAGGAAATGAAATTGAAACTACTGTCCCACTGAGCATTTACCATCATTGGGAAATGCTTGAAGACTACCTAGTAGAGCTATTGGCCAACAAGTATGGCCTTGACACCTTTGGATGTGAGTTGGCACTTCTGTCAGATGAGGCCGACAGCCCCCTCAGTGACCCCATTCATGAGAAGCTTTGGGAGAACAACCGCTACCAACTCACTGTCTGGAATAGCCTCCGCGTAATATCCTCGAAGGAACAAATCAGAAGGGAAGAATATGCGGACCGCCCCAAAGCAATCTCGGTTCCGATGAATGGAACCGGCATTCTTCCTGCCAAAGCATTCTTTGCCGTAGCGCGGCTTCGGCGTGTCCAAGTTGAGGCGGGATATCATACCATTGAGCGACAGGCATGGCGATACTGCCACACGCTTACCATTGTTAAACTGCCCAGCTCTGTGGTGACAGTGTCGAATGCTGTATTTCAAGGATGTTATGCACTTACCACAGTGGTGATGCCAGGGTGCCTATTCTTAGGCGCTCGACTTTTTGCAGAATGTTGTGCTCTAGAACAGGTGGGAGTGCTTACAGTGCGCCCCTGCAGATTAGCCTGTGGTGCCACAATCTCACCCTATGCCTTTGAAGGCTGCATAAGGCTAGCGCAAATAGGTCTTCCCCGGACCAGAGCCGCTACCGGGATTCAAGAACTAACATCCCCACCAGAAGGATTGCCAACGGGGTGCTTCCATTCGTCAGGCATTCAAGACATCCACCTTTCGCAAGCAACTGAGTTTATAGGTCGTAAGGCCATTGACCTTTCACACACGCGAGTGAGAATAGTGCAAGTGCAAGTATTCTCACACTGTCGAGCCTTGGCGCAGATCACCCTGCCAAAACATCTCACAGAAATAGGCGCTGAAGCCTTTGAAGCTTGTGTTTCGCTTAGTACAATAGCACTTCCGCCGTTTGTAAGCAGCATTGGGTACCGTGCCTTTGCGGAGTGCAGCAGTCTGATATGTCTCACACAACGCAGTGACAGAGCAAGCCAGCACGGCATCCAAGTTGCAGCTAATGCCTTCGATGGGTGTCAGGCCCTAGTCGTTCCTGGAGGAATCTGTTGTTTGGCTGTTTGAGCAAGGAAAAAAATTCAACGATCAGATGACTGCCCGTGCAGTTGTCCTATCCACTACACACAGAACAAGCTATTAGCAAATGCGAGTCACAAGCGAGTCATAAGTTGGAGCGCAAGCAAAATGTAAGTAGACGCAATCCCTTTGGGCTCGAAGAAAAGAGTGCAAAGTCATATAGAGGGGAGGCTGCCATGATTGCTGACCATATCTCAGTGTCTACTTCGCAGTGGAGTGAAGAAAGGGCACTGACTGTGCATTTGGTCTTGACCACATTAGCTGGCGATGAAGCCCAGCTAACAATTGAAATTCAGGAGTTCGACCGACTGCAAGAATTTGAAAATGCAGTCATGGAACAACTACCGGTGATAGGCGAAAGCAGCACCTTTGGGTGCGAACTAAGCTTTGTTTGTCGCAACTCGCAACAGAAGCTAGTTGACCCAATCTGGCACACGTTGCGAGATTGCAACTGCTTTACTGTTGTTGTCAGCCCCTGCTTTGAGCAAGCCGAGCATAAGGGGCAAATGCAAGGGGAAGCCAAAGCCCTGCAAGTCCCGTTCTACTATATCGATAGAGTTTTCCCGCAGGCCTTTTCGCATGTGGCAAACGTGCGGCATGTGCAAGTTGATGCAGGCTACCGTATAATAGGGGAGGGGGCTTGGCGCAACTGTCAGCACCTCCAAATTGTACATCTGGACAGCACGGTAATCAGCCTGCAAACGCAAGCCTTTCACCGCTGCTATGCATTGCGCAAAGTCATTGCACCAGGATGCAAGCAGTTTGGAGCACAGGTCTTTGAAGAGTGCTGTGCGCTTCTGCAGATTGGGAAGTGCTGCATCAAATCAATTTCGAGCTGACGGAGCACCAGCCGAACAGCCGGACGCGATGTTTGCCGGAATGCTGCTTCATGGAAGCCGGCTTAACCGCATTGACCCTACCTCCAGAGTTTAATTGGATGGGGCCGAGTGCCTGCGAACGGTGTATGCAGCTGCAATTAGTAGATCTCTCACGAACTGAAATCATAGAAATCATGGGAGGTACCTTTGCACACTGCAAACACTTGCAAACATTAAAACTCCCTGGAGCACTGAGGATGATTCGACAGGAAGCCTTCCTCAAATGAGAGGTGCACGTGCCTCCCACATTGCTCTATATTGCACGACGAGCTTTTGCGGGGTGCACACAGCTCTGTCGCTTTCGGAGAAATGGCCAAAGTGTGACCTGGCGGGGGGCAGCTGACCAACACCCGTGTGCTGGTCCTGTACGTACCAGCCAATGACACAGTGCTAGCTGCCTCGTCGACACTGAGTAGTTAGCCAGTCCCAGCCTGCTACCCGTGTAGTGGTTCTGGATGAGTATAGTGTACAGAATTAGGAAAACGGCGTCTCACCCTGTTTCACCTCCTAACTTAGCATCGTAGTTCATGGGGCACATGCATGGTTTGGCCGCTCCTGATGGCCGCGGTGGAAAGAGGCTGATAGAAGAAGAAAAGCAACACAAGGTGCAGTAATGGTCCAGGATGACTGCCCACACCTGGAGCATGTCACGGCGCACGCTCTATATCAAGCCCTGTGTGCTTGACTTGCCTGACATGCTCTGATTGATCCTCCCCCTCTGGGGGAGGAATGGGAGCCACCTCTCCCTTGCCACCTCTTTTGAACCATTTCGGTGACCTCGCACTGTCCTTCATCCTCGGCTTTTTGGAAATACCGAGCTGAGTGACCGTGGTTTTCCCTTGACGGCGCCTCCTTGGTTCCGCATTCGTGGCTACCTGCTGGCAAAAAAGCAAATCGTGACGAATGGACCCTGGTCAAAGGGCCATTCCCTCACTAACAATTCGGATCTATTTGATGCACACTTTCACTGGTGGTAAGAGCACAGTAGCAATGCTGCAATTTTGGACTGTGCCATCCTTCCCATCTTTTTCATCCTTGCCTTTTTGGCGGTGCTACGGCACTCACAGGGTGATAAATGGTTAATCAGTACTTGCAACAGCACATGCAACCGTTTGCTCGCTGGGCTCTAATGCCCCTGATTCGATTGCACCTTGCTCCGCTTCATGAAGAACAAGAAGTACTGAGCGTTTTGCGGAATTCATCGCCCCTGTCTCACCTTCTTCATGCCTTCTTGGCTCTCGGAGCTGCGCTACAGGTTGCACTCGGCTTGGGTCTTGTTGTGTTGTTTTTTGGTGGGTTTTGGGTTGCTTTGGTCCTTTCGTGTTATGTGCAACCTGTCTAGTAACTCCTTCTTAACTCGACTAAGGTGACTTGTGCATGACCTGCACACACAGCGCCTCCACTCGTGCAAAAAAAAAGTCTCGTACCGTTCCTTTTTCGAAGCTCTGGTGCCTCGCTCGCTGGAGCTCAGTCCCAGCGATCTTGAGGCGCTGATCTCATCATCCCAACGCCCATCACGCGGAAGCGGATCGACGATGGCAGAAGAGACACCGAAAAGGATGGACTGTCGGAGTGAAGATCCAGAGACTTTTTGGACTTTCAGATCAACCAGGATAGATATGATAGATGTTGATGGGAAAAGAACACATTTTAGAGTTGTTGTGATGTCTCAAGCAAAGCAAGAGAAAAGCAAAGCCAAAGGCCCTGGACCTGGACATGCAATATCTAAAAAGCAGTTGATGTTGATGTTGATGGTTCAAAAGTGGGCGCTGCCTAACATGAGTGTAGGCCTACTTGTAGGCTGGTAGTGTTAGAGCCTTCACGAAGCCAGGGAGCTTGTCATGGATATGGGCCCAAACAAATTGTCATTGAGAACGTGGGCAACCTGCATCAACCATTTTCGGCAGAGTGACGGCAGAGGGAGAAAATCATTGAAAGAGTTGCGCTGGTTTCTTGTCGGTAGGTGTTGGCCTGGGAGGGGGCCTTTTGAAGACACTTTGTACTAGGCTCTCAGCAGTTGTTTGCGGGGTCATGGTGTCTTGGTTTATCTTGTTGGTGCTGGTGGATTGATCCATTGATGAAATTTATTTATTGCAAGTGATTGCGCAAAAGAAGCTTTGCACATGTTGGTCAAATTTGGCAAGTTCTATATTCGATGGAAGACTTGCATATTTGGATGCTGGCCCGGGACGGTTGAGACTTGTTTGTACGTTAGTGTTCGCGTTTTTCGTGTTTGCCAAGACTCTCTATCTAGGTTTGTTTCCGCATTCTTACGGGCTCAAAGCTAAAAGCAAACAGAAGTTCTGCATGACGAATTGTTCGGAAGGAAAACATTAACTAAATGCTTCTATATTTGAGAAGCGGTGCACTGCTGCAGTTGTCAATCGTCAACCGTGCATGCAAAACACTAGCGCTACTTTTTTTTTTTTAACGTGCACTTTGACGCCCAATCGTTTAACACAACGTGCGAGCCTCGAACCAGCGCCGAAAGGCACAACTAAAATGTTGAATCTGATTGGAATTCTCATGGTGGTGTTGGCACCAACCAGTGCTGTGTTGTTGATGTTGATTATTTTTTCGCATCCGGGTTCCTCAGGAATGACATGTGTGGTGACCTCGCATTCAGAAGACTCGATCTCGGGCTTGATCAAGCGCGTGCAGAAGTTGGAGGTGTGGAAATCGTTTCAACCTTCTTTTTACTTGATTATATAATTGTACTGAATGGACTGTGATTGGTCCAGAACCATTGAGTTTGTGAGTTTCCATCATTGGTTCTGGTGTCACTAGTCAGGAAGAATAACAGACCTTGTTTGAGTGTCAAGTCCCAGGCAGGGTTTGTCAGCATGGGTCAAGAGCTCACCCTCTTGCGGGAGTGGTTGACCTCCAAGAGCCGCAACCACTTTGAGCCGCCTTGCCGCCCCTTGGATCAAGAGGATTTGAAGATGCTGGTTCGTTTCAACATGGAGAGGCGTTCCCAGCCCAAAGGTTTCGGTTGGGGTTTCTGTGTGAGGGGTTGGGGTTGTGAAGCGTTTGATGTCTCGACATGCTTGATAAGCGATGTTCAAATCATTGATTCCTTTTGGAACCACTCAGGTCAAGATGCCCCGCACAGGACGGAGGAACTGTGCTCAGAGTTTTTTCCCCAGCAGTGAGAAACAACGCCTGGGTCTGACCAAGGCTCTGGATGATGCCTTGGACCCGGGCCTTCTTTTGCCCATTGTACAGTACCACAGCAGCAGACAAAAGGAATTTTTGAGTTACAGTTGAAATGACCGACGTCCGAATCTGCAAACCGCGATCTTTCAGGTTCTCTGGGCTGCCTTCAGTCTACGCGCTTGAGAGAGCTTCGCCTCAGGCGGACAGTTGGATTTGGATTCCAAAGACCTCCCTGATCCGATGTCCAATGATTTTTCACTCAGTAGGAGGGTATGCTCTTCTCCAAGGTTGAATTGGAGCAGTGGGTGATCGTTTCACTGAAGCAACTGTCAGGTCTTTGCTGCCTTGTCGCGCCTGGTGAACCCCATCAAAGCCAGTTTCATGAAGCTCTACATTTGCGGAGGGTGCCAAAGAAGCACCAGCCTGCTCAGAGGTGCATTGATTCATGTGGTTTGAGAGGGGTTCAGGAAATGGCCTGATAGGGCAGGACTTGTTGCTTGGTTCCCCAGTGGGCACAGGTGCCAATCAGCAAATGAGCAACAGGTTATACTTCTCCAGTGCATCCAGCTTGCTGCCACATATCGTATGCATCTAAAAGCACCCGCGTTAGTAAGTTCCCTTGGTCTTATGATGTCTTATGTTTGCAGGGAGAATGTCTTATGTGGTTCGTTTTTGGATGAGATATGATTTCACCAGCATGATGTGACAACGCAGAACGACCTTCGTTGCAGAGGTGGCGCCAGGCCTGAAAAGATGGCGAGCACCGTGCGGTCCTTTGACCGGTGGAGCCGTGCGGTCTTCGCCGTCCTCGAAAACGCCGAACATGGAGCAACGTTGCTTGTGGAGTTTCTTTTGGATGGTAGTGAGGAGAAAAGCTGCAGCCTATCCCTGCATGGCAGACGACGGCAACGAACCAAACATGAGAAGTCTCGAAACACCTGCAAGCGGTCTGCCGAGACCTTGAGGCAAAAGACAAGGCCTAAAGTTGACAAAAGTTAACAATTTAAGCTTGCGGGACATTAACGTATGATGAACTTGTCTGTGGAGTGGGTGAAAAGGGTTTGGACTGAACAAGACAGTTTTGCACATTGGCCAAAACAGAAAGTTGTCTTCTCCAGACTTCAGCTATTGCATCTTTGGTATTCAGGTAGAACGCTTGGACCTGGGCGCTGCACAGAGCTGGCTCAGCTCCTGGGAGGTCCGAAGGGGAGATCTGAAAGAGATTCCTGCCTGGAAAAGGTTGGGAGGATAAACCCAGGTGAAGGAACATGGATACTGACAGGGGCGAGTTGGAAAATGATGGTTCCCTGTTAGGGAGATTGGCAGTTTCCATGTAGGTCTTTGAAGATGGTAAGATCCCAACTTACTTTGCAGGAATCTGGAGTTGGAGAATTGGAGAGGGTAGAGCAAGTGGTGTCAATACTTTTCAACTTTTCAATTTCTATTCTTCCGCACCCCAACGGCGAGAGCTCTTGAGCCACTTGAGCCGTAGTGAAAGAGTCGTGAGCCGTAGGGAACCTGGAAGTTTACCTGTCCGAAGTGGACGGTCTCACGAGAAGAGCTGCGAAGAGAGCGTGGAAATGGTTTCCCTTGTAGTGATGTTTTTTTGTCATCATGATCATGAAAGACTGGGGGAAGACAGGAACGTCAACCAGGTGGCCCAGGTACTTGCCTAATGAAGGCCATGCACCTATTTGTTGTAGAGTTGCAGCTTGCAGCCTCACATCTTCCCAGGTTGTTTCAGTCAGTTTCTGTGCAGGCCGTTGCCCCCATGCCGGAAGCGCGCTCCGATGCCAGTGCGGTAGTGCTTCAGGGCTACCTGTACATTTGTGGTGGCCAGGATCATTGGATGCTTGCAGAGGTGAATGTTTGACGGGGGGCTCTAACAGCTCAGACAATTCCTTTTTGCAGGTTTGTCCTGAGTCTTGAGAAGCATCCTTCCAACCCACACATGGAGTACAGGGACACTAACTACAATGAAGTACCTCTGAGTCACAGCTTTATGTACACCTCAAGGTTGATGATCCCAGAACCTGTTTGATGGTTTTTGCAGGATGGGTCAAACGTGCTGACCAGTGCTGCTCGCTTTCATCCTAGCACGCTCGAGTGGGAGGCCGCTTGGAGATTCAGAAAAAACAGAACCGTTCGGGGCACAAGGAAAAGCAGTGGGTGCCTCCACAACCGTTGGGGCCTCCGTTTCAAAGCACTTGGGGCATGGTGGCACCTGGAAAACAAGCAGTTGTCCAAGCCCTCCATAGGCGTGAACGGAACGGCGTCCGATGCTTGGATCACAGGTCTTACCATGCCTGGCGGAAGGTCGCCGAGAAGCAGCTGGACGGCTGACCGCCGAAAAATCACTTGAACGCATTAGCCGTGGAAGGGCGCTTCTGTAGGTCAGGCAGCAGACCACTTGGATTGTGTGTTTGGAGAGTGTATAGTCTGTGAAATTCTTCAAAGCTTGACTGCGTGCAGGAGCAGCTCTTCATGGTTGTGTCTATCTTTGTGGCGGTTCCAATACTTGTGCCTTCACTGAAGAACCCCACCCAAATCAGTTTGTGCAAACATAGCTCCTGCTGCAGGCCTTCATCAAAGACTTACTTCGGTGGGGTTTATGTGTGTTGAATTGTGTTGACACTTGAATAAGTTTTTGTATTTGTAGGTTCGTTGGAATGCCTTGGTTTGTTGGCATTGTTGGCATTGAAGAAACAGTATCTCCACTTTGAAGTCTCTCAAAAGGAGGAAAACGATCAGCTTTGTGCTCCATCTGGGGATGCCATCCGGTTGGTTGGCCCGACACCCCTCCAGTCCGAACGGATGGGGATCCATCCCGAAAAACGCCTCAGGTGGTCCATTGAGCTCAGGGGAGCGCTTCAATCCGGCCCTGCACGCCTGGGAGACCGTGCGGCCCATGTTCCGACAGCGCTCAGGCCGGGGGCGAAGGGGGGACGCGCGGCGCGGCGGGGGGGGACACGCGAAGGGAACGCACCGTGCACGGAGGGATGCGGGGGTGTGGCGTCCAAGGTGTGGGTGGGAAGGTGAGAGCCACGTGGTGGCAAGGGAGTCGAGCGTCGATGGTTTGGCAGTCTTCTGAAGTCTTCCAAGTGCAGGTGCTGTCAGTGCCGTGATGGGTGGTGCCTTGTGCGTAGCGGGTGGCGGCGATGGCCAACAACCGCTAAGCCCAGACCTTGGTAGGCATGTGTCATTGATGTGGCCAACAACTCAGGTCGGGTATTGATTCACAGCATGAAATCCATGGTGCACCTTGTTTAGCTGGATTGACGCGCACCTAGCCCTTCGAGGCTCCGCCGAGCGGCTGGTGGGGGATGCTTGGGAGGCGCGCGGAGTGCAGCGCCAGCTGCTGCGATGGCCGAAGGGGTAGGGTGAACCGGTCCAAGTGCTCCATTGGTGCAGACAGTTTGGGGGGTCACCCCAGATGAAGGAAGAGGTTTCACCAGCCAAATGGGGGGATATTTCTTAACCAACTGTCTACATGGTGGGCTTTTGCCGACAGCTTCAAGCAAGACTTTGGGTCATTTTGGATAGCCAAAGGATTGGGATTGGTAGATCATTCACTGCCATTCACAATGGGCTGCGATCTGTGTCCTTGCCGATTCGTATGTAGACGTGTGGTCCTTTTTGTACGGTGGAGCCAATGACATAGGGAACCAGCCACTTGCCAACATTGGTTGAGGCTGCCCTTGATATGCCACGGGTTGGAACGTCAACCAGCTGCAAAATCCCGTGTCAAAGCTCCTGTCCTGAGCCAAGCACAGCACGGAGGTCCTGCCGTCCATGTCCTGCCGGCGGATCCGCGCTGCGGCGGCTGTGTTGCAAAATCGGTGGCCCTGGGCTGAGATGCGAGCTCCAGAAGTCCCTGCATCATCATATCAGTCATGAGTTGTCGCCCCAACATAGCTCCTGGCGGGCTTGAAACTTGGGCATTTGGAGGCTTGTCTGCGGTGGTGGAGACGGGCGCTATGTGTCATCCTCAGCAACTGGTCGCACTCTGTAAAGATTGTCAATGACGGCCAGCGTTTCCACATTTTGGCCTTCAGCGGCTTCATGCCGCTTCCTGTCTTCTCATGAATTGAGTCCACCTGGAAGTTGAAGGGGATTCCCTCCCTGAAACAATCATGGAAGTGGAATGATACACCTGTTCATAGAGGAATTCAGTCTTCCAAGGAGCCTTGTTCCACTTCCATCTTTGTAGGATGGAGGGTGTGTGTATCTTTTTAAAGTAAAGCTTTACCTCCCTCAAGTTCCAACCGAAGCCTCGGTGACAGCTGTGACCGGAGTGCAGGTCCTGAACTCTGCCGAGCTCTTGATGGCTCCAACGTCACGCTGGGAGCTGCTAAAGCCCATGAACAGCCCGCGTGGCGCTGCCGTGGTTTGGTTCGCGGTTGCGAGGGCCGTGACGAATACGTGTGTCGCTCCGCCGTGGAGGCGTTCGAATACCGTGTGGTGTGGAAGAGGCCGCTATGAGGTCAGGGTTCAAAGAGACGCAAAGATCGCAAAGGACGTGCGACCGAGACTCGGCGGCGAAGGCGGTTCGAAGCGAATGGGATCGTTTGGCAGCCAGGCTGGTCCAGCGTTGCGGGGGTCATGGCTGGATGCCTCTATGTTCCTTGGAATGGCATTTGGGTGTTTGTGCAAGTGCCTGGAGATTTCGACTGTACAAAGAAAGCATCAGTTGCAATCAGCAGCTAGGGCCAGGGTTAGGGATGGGTGCCTATGCGCGCCAAGTTGGACGTGCGATTTGTTAAAGGCGTCTTGTGAGTCAGACCAGCCCAGGTTTGTGGTGGCGGAGATGGAGAATCTGCCCCTCAGCACAACTTCAGACTGTCGATATCATGATGACATTGATGATATTGATGTTTGTGCTCAGGCGTTTGGTTGTTTTTAAATCATTTCTGCGGATTTATTGTCTGCCTGTTGGGGCCACTTGGCTGCCAAGGTTCTCCAGTCAGCAGAGCGTTTTAACCCAATGACTGGAGTATGGGAGGAGCAACAAAGCCGAAAGTCGTGCAACTGTGTTGCAGGTTGCGATGGTTTGGTCCATTGCGGTGAAACGATCACCCCCTCTGCGTCCAAGCCTAAGAAACTACTCAGCAGTAGCTCTATCTTCCCTCGGGGCCAAGAATAAACAATCAATGAAGATTTCAGGGAGTGTGCGTGGTAACTCAGAGTGAAGGGCTCTGATGGCTCTCGCAGGAGCTTCCACCCATGAGCTGCCCACGCTGGGGCGCTACAGCAGTGGTGGCAGATGGCCTGTACGTGTTGGGAGGCAGCACAATGGGTTTCTCAAGTCGAGGGGCATTGTGGGGTGGTCGATCAGGTCGATCAGGTCGATACAGCCTTTCAACGTGCATGGCTTCTGGTGCCCCGCGGTATGGTGCACAGTGAAGCTTCACGTTCGCCTCGACCGGTGCCCCTTCCGGTCCACCGGGGCGTTCCGGTGCAGGAAGCCACAAGTTCGGAGCTCTCGGCACGGCCGAGCGCTTGGGTCCCACCTCCGAGGTCCGGGGGCCCGGAGACGACGAAGCCGGGGGAACGAAGGTGGGGGATGACACCGGGGCACCATCACCATATGGCATGGAAGAAGAGATGTATGAAGAAGGGTACGGGATGGTACGGGTTTTGGATGCCAATGGCCGAAATAGCTGGTGTTAGTCATGCTGAAGTGCCGGACAAGAGAGAGATAAGAGTCTGAGAGGCATTTCATTTGATGACCTTCGAGGGGGTTTGTGAATTTTGCAAGCCTGACCGTGGAGATCCGCCCGAATGAATCGCCGATTCGACTTGATGGCTTTGAGAAATCTAGATGCATTGATTTGATCAGCCATGGACTGAAGCAAGCCGCCAGCAGCCATATGTATATATAGGCAGGCATACATTTCGCGCAAAGACAGATGCCAGGACAGAACGCAGACACGATGAATTACAAACGTTCTTGGCCATGCCGATTTGCAGTCTTCCCTGACCAGGCCTTGGAACAAGTGGTTCAAATGACAAAACAGGGCTTCCAGGTGCCTCTCTTTGTCGTGTCCCAATGGCCGATGTTGCCGCTTTGCGGCTGGAGTTGCAGGAGTGCCATGCTGGGATGCTGCAAGTGACTTTGACTTACGAACGCCAAGGTGGCAAGGACGAACTCAACTGATTCATTTGGGCCCTTCACTCAATCCTATTCCTCCACGCTTTCTCCCAAAGCGGAGTGCTCCGAGCTCTCGGTGAAGCTCCGTGTTTTCGTCGAGGAAGCGGAGGCCGAGCTGGAGCTGAAGGATGCTGAGCTCCGGGCCTGCTGTCCGCGCGTCTCGGGCGAGATTGGCTGTGGAGATGTCGGGAGATTTGCTGGGAGGTGGTGCTGTCAAGCAAGTTGGAAGGTGGCCGAGGGCTGTGGAGATCTCACTTTGCGAAGATTGGCAGGCATGCTGATGTCCAGGAAACCACTGTTGTGGTAATTGACCCAATGTTTTCTGGGTTTTCTGTGGGACATTTCCATAGGCTAGTGAAGCACACCGTTAGTTGCCGATTGCCAAATTGGCAGAGGTGAACCATGTATCACTACGATTCAATCATGACTGCAGCTATGCTACATGTACAGATGCAATGTTTCCAGAAGAACCATACAAGCCAGATGAAGCCAGGGAGATGCCATTCTGTACGAATTCTGCTACACTGTTATCATAAGCTTGTCCTGATCTGTGACCCCCGTCCACCGGGGCATGTGTATCAAAAAGAAATTAATTACTGAATCAAAAAAAAATTATTTACGTAACCAACAACAAATTAATTAACTAATCAAAAAATAATTATTTTCCTTTCCCGTCTCTTGTATGCTTGCTCCTGGTCCACATGGTCGTCCTGGTCCCCTTGGTCCCCTGGTCCCCTTGGTCCCCTGGTCCCCTTGGTCCTCTGGTCCCCTTGGTCCCCTGGTCCCCTTGGTCCCTGGTCACCTCGTCGAAGGGAAGGGAAGGGAAGGAAGAAAAGAAGGGATCCAGGTAGGAGGCCGGCGCCTCGTCTGTACACGCGAAAAGTGACTCATCTGTACACGCGAATGATATACCTCGTCTGTACACGGGGATGCGCTGCTTCAAACTCACTCTCGCCCTCACTCTCACTCACTCACTCACTCTCACTCACTCACTCTCACTCACTCACTCACTCACTCTCACTCACTCACTCTCACTCACTCTCACTCACTTTCACTCACTCTCACTCACTCACTCACTCACCCTTTTGTCCTTTTGTGGGCAGGGTGAAATTTCGAGAAGGAAGTGGCTATGCCAAGTTCACTCACCCTTTTGTGGGCCATGCAGG